ACTTCTTTTGTGTGTATAACCTTATAAATTATATAAGAACAAACTATATGATTAAAAATAACTTGCTTTTGTACTTCATACTCATCTGTAATTCCTGATAAAATAGTATATTGTCTGCAAATATAACGCAAAATTTCGATTTCAATTGAATTATTTATCATTTAAAATAATATTTTACCAGAAATTTTGCATGACTTTGCTTAATTCGAATGTTTGCGAATTAATTTCAAATACTGTATTTTACAGAATGAAAATATATATAACTTACGTGTAAAATATTTCATGTACTCAAATTTTAATTAAATCAGCTATACATTTAGAAAATTAGATATTTCTTCAAATTATATAAGAATTGTTAATTATATTTAAGTTTCATGTCTCAGTTTTGAAGTATTCTTTTTTATCAGGAGATCCATACTGGACTCTGATAAATAACATTCTGTGGATAAAGATAAAATTATTATGTATTTTAAAGTTATAAGTTTCATATATTAATCAGACGGCTTAGGTAGTATAAGCAGTCAGTCTGCGGTTCTGAAGATCCGTGTTAAAGTTCGAATAGAAGTCTCAGAAATGTTCATTAATGGTTTTGGTATGGCCATCTCTGATGCAAAACTTGTCGAGCCCGTGCCCATAAAAAAGCCCTTTTACTGGCCACAGGGTGAAAAGATTTGAGAAAAAGAAATTACAGGAAGTAGATTAATATCAATATTTATGGGTTAGACAATACTTTTAGAAATATAAATGCTGTAATATTATTTTATATATTAGCAGTATAAAAATCTCTAAGAGTAAATGATCAAGCTTAATTTTATGTAATATGTGNGTGATCATTTGACCTCTTTTCACTACCTGGCTTAATTTTGCTTGTATGTACTATTTATGACTTTGAGATCAGACTGTCCGAATGACTGCCTGGCATGATTCGAGGGACATCTTTAGTTATCGTGTAGTAGTTGCATAATGCAAATATATTTTTTAATCATTTTAAGCAGAAACTATTGATTCATATGATTCACATGAAAATCGTTGTATTATCGCAATCTTTAAGCGACACTCGCGCGTCATTTGCGATAATCGCAGAGAAAAAGTGAATTTGGTAATAAATTAATGAGAAATAAAAATCGTAAGCATGTAGAAATTAACTAAATATTCCTTAATCATTTTAGTTAATCTCATTTTCTGTCCCGAAACCAATTTCGTAATTATAATGATTGAATTTGCTAATAGATGGCAGCACATATTAATATGCTAATTAATATCAGGTACATTTTAAAAAGTTTATTTAATAAATAAACAATACGAAACTTTTTATACCGTTCAAATAGTTTATTTATTAACAAAAAGAAAAAAAGAAACTGTCTAATAATGTTAAAAATATCCAATAAGCGTATTTATGTATTAAAATGGTATTAAAATATTTTATATAACGCATTATTTTAAAATCAACAATAAAGAAAAACTACACTCATACTTCGAAGGATAATTAGATATAATGAAAAGTAAAAAGGCTCGCTTTACAGATATGGACTTCAGAGTAATAGCGTTTTTGCACTGATGCAAATCAAGTTTAGATTAGATGAATGTTCTTCAGTCAGGCAGGACCTTTCGACATTTCCGATAATTGGTCACTTTCTTTAATTAATTTAAATTTTTTTATAGAACTTCGAGCAAATTTCTTTAAGAAAATCTCTCAGATTTATTGTTCAACAAAAGATAACATTGACATATATTATATTGCATAAATAAAATTATTGTAATTAATAAGACTAATAAGCTTTGATTTGCTTTTTAATGCAAAACGTCAACACATATTACAAGCTAAGTACGATGTCCGATCTGAACTCTTAGTAAAAACTTATGCAGGGATGTTCCAAGCGTTTTTGGCGTCCTAGACAGATTTCATTCTTGGCGTCCTTTTACTACTAGACGCCTTGTGCATTGAATAACCTGCACACCTACATGTGACAACTCTAGATGTATACATAATACCTGTATGTCTAATTAAATAATTGATAAATATTTCCCTTTAACTGATACTGGCTATGACGCCCCTAAATTTTTGACTGTCTAATGGCCTATAGCTCCGATGGCCTTGAACTTAATCGAATTTATTTCTGACACAGTGGAAATATGATTAATATGGAGACATAATATATTTTCAGAATAGATATACGCGGAGGAAGAAAACGATTTTGGAACAAGAAAGAAACACATATTTATTATAAGATGTTCAATACTGACAATATGTAATGTTATAACTTTGAAATTTTGAGGCGATATTCGAATTCTTTTCGTACATGTCATCTCCGTGATTCTGTAATACTGGTTATGACCATAAGTGATTCATCAAGATTGGCATATTGAACATATTTAGTTATATTTAATGAATTTCTTTCATGCTTTTCGATATGATTTCATATATGTAGACTATAACCAATTAGGAAATACGCTAATATTTTATTGTCTTCAATATTAATATCATTGATCCTTATAGTCTCAATTTGGACTTACAATAACTCTACATAGATTTGTAATTAAATGTAATCACTAATTATAAAGTTATTTTAAAAAAGTCAGAAAACTGGATATGAATGAAACCGATTTTTCATAGAGCAATTTTACTGCGTTATCGTCGTTCACCCTTACCCAAATTTACTGAATTTATTCAGAATTCATCCAGATCCGTCGCTGAAGGTTCAGAATTGAGATAGTTAATAGACTATCATGTACAGATATTTTACGTTACAAATCCATTTTATTTTTAAAATTTTTTAAGAGGACTAAAAATAAATGATTTAATTAATTTGACAATATTTATAGTATAGTAAATTCTATATTTTTTTATTTACATTATATATTTAACTACACTAAGACACGTCAGAGAATTTGATAATTAAATCTATATTCTCCGAAAGAGACTAAAGCATTCATTCAATTAATTTAAAATAATTTTAAAAGTAACTAATTTCGCAAATTTTTACACTAAATGTATTTAATGTCTTTGTTTTTATTTACTTTCTCAAATTATTTATTTACATTCTGAAATTATAAACTTCAGAATGTGTCAAGACAATACAGATTGCAGAAAATTGATATAGGCCTATATTTGATATTTCTATTAATTTTAAATCTTATAAAAGTATAATAGTAATTGATATTATTTACCTGATTTATGAAAAATTTCGTTTCAGTTTTACATTTTGAGTCACCAAAAAATAATTTGTACGTTGAAACGAGAATTTTCATATAAATTCCCATTCCGGAACATTAAACGTAGTCGAGAACAATGTCTATTTTATTAATTCCTGCTTTATATATAAAGAATTTTATTTAAATAACATGAAATTAATAACATAAAATTCTGTTACGTTCAACTGATATTAGTTACGCTAATTAATTTCCGTAACAACGTCACTTTCTAATGTGCCGTGATGTCACGGATGATGTCACTTCGTAAAAGTTCCTTGTAACACGGATTTATAAAATTTAAGTAAAAGGATATAAGATAAATAATAATATAGAAGCAAATTATAGAAAAAGGAATAAATTTCGTGTTTTAACATAAATAACTATTCAAAATTAACATTAAATGTATTTAATTTTAATTTGAATTTGAAAGTAGCCAATAAAAGATGTTATTAGAAAAAAACGTCATCTGTTATGACGTCAAATCGCATTTCATTCATAAAGATAACGTCATTCATAAAGTTCAATATTTAATCTAATAAAAAGGAAAAGATCATTTATCTATGCGTATTGATTAAAAATCCATTAAGCATTTATCTATTGATTTGATTATGTTAAAATTATATAAAATTATAATTTATATATATATATATATATACTGTATATATTCTAGTTGGAGCACGCAAACCTGTTCCGGTGGAACTTATTCTGGAACGCTTTGCTATACGGAAATAGTCAGTAAGATTGATGTCAAAGCCTCTAAACGAACCAAGCAATAGTTGATAAAAGATGCATGAAGAGTGCTTTTGACTGCATGCTTTCGGGTTGAGTGCAAATTCGTGTTGCATACCCGCTCGTCTTGTGGGACGGTTTTCTATCCATTTATCCCACCGTCTTCCCTATTGTTATTTAATAAACCCTTTATAAAAAGTAATTAAACTACGTCACGTGTTTAGATTTTAGGACAAATAATAAATAAACTTATCACTGTACAGCCTACTTGACAATCGTTTCTTAATAATTGCAAACGTAATTAACTCGCATTTTTCCTATGGAAGATAAATTATAAAGTGAGAAAAAGTTAATAGGGCACGAATACGATTCCTGACACGTACAATTTGCCTATTTATCATCGTGAAATTATCAAATTTTCTATGTTTTATATGCATTACACCATTCGAACAAGTTGAGATAAGCCAATATAAAATTAATCTACGTCACTCACGTGATTATATATACATTATAATTAGTTATTATAAGCTTCAACCCTATACAAACCCCTATTTTCATCCCTCTAGACAACCTTTTCCTCTTCTCATTTAGCTCATCTTCCCGCAACCTTAATCCACTCCTTCACTTCCTCTTCATCTTCTTTTATAAAATAAAATCTCTCTAGCGTCATTTATAAATAATAAATGTAAGTTATTAAATAATTTAACAATTTTTTAAGCTCTTCACTTGACTAGAAGAGTCAGAAAATTGGCATCTGGAGACAAACGTTTAAGATAAATTGAACTTAGGTAGGAGGATGGGGAGGAGTGTAAGGAGTTGGACGTAATAAATGTAAGAAAAAATGTAACCAGATGATCAAATTTTTTCATTCTGTCCACCTACCAAAATTTTCCGAATGCTATAGAACGAAATAACAGTAGTAGTATAATTTATAGCCGATGGTAAAAGTGATCAATAACCGTCTTCTCAGTTTACAGTTCAACAGTTTCATGGTACGTCAGCAATAGAACGTATACTCGTACATTGTCTCAACTCACCTCGACTATACTTTACAGTTACCTCACCACTTGTCCTCCNTAAATATAATGTACAAGTTATTAACAAGCGCAACGAACACAACGATTCTTCGTTAGCCAAAGACCGAAACATTCAGGACCACACATGGGCATCGAAGGGCAATTAGGATTTAATTTAACACCTAAAAAATATTTTAAAAAATTTTAATATCACTTTCAGTTATAAAATAATATTCTTAAGTATAATTACTACTTACAAGTTGGGTATACGTAACAAAAGTTATCTTTACATTCGTAAATCTTTAAAACGCATTGCCTCGGATAACGACACTTGACGTACTATGAGAAACAAATAAAGAATTTAAAAATCGGTATGTGAAGCCACTTGTAAGAAGATAATAAATATGAATCACTACATACGTCACACGGACGACTTCTTGTTGTAGGTGGAGAGGGTTGGACATTGCCTAAAAAGGAGGAAGAGGGTGTGAAAAATTTTGTGATTAATTCTTACGATTGTTTATTAATCTAATTTTAGATTTAGTTGTCCAAAGCCTAGAATTACGTTAATTTTAGTCTATTTTAAATTCGTAGTAAACTAATGTCTTATTTAGAAAATCGCGACGACAAAGTGAAACTTCATATACTTCATGTACTATATACTACGTCGTCGGTGCATAAGAATAGATTAGCTTATAAAAATAATTTTTAATAATAAAAGCTAATTTTCTTTATATATGCAAATGTATTGAAGATTTGAAGATAAGTGAAAGTTCAATAAGAAAATTAATTAAATAAAAGCAAATTAAACTACATTTAATTATAAAATTTGGAGTTTTTTTGAGTTAAATTTTAATAATAATTTATAAAAACAATTTCTATTTTAATATAAACAGTTAAAATATTCAATTATTAAAGAATAAAGTAAACAGGAAGAGTCATTATAAATGATTAATAGTGCTTTAGCGACAATCTTTTTAAAAGGTGTTGCTTTCGAGAAGTAAACAAATATTAGAAATACCTAAAAAGTAAACATAAATTTTAAATTAATTTCAATTTTTCCCCTTTTTTTTTACTAAAACTAACTTACTTTTAATAGATAAACTATCGATGTATTTAATTTTGATGTATTTGTACGTGAATTCCATTTAAACCGATTCACTTTTATTTGACATGATTAAATCGAAGATCATTAAAAACAATTGAAAGTTAAAATAATAATAAGAAATAAGAACTTAATTCAGAATTTAATACTTACTCAGTAAAAGTAATGAAAAAAGCAATAGAAACAAATTACTGAAGAATGTGTTCATGTTCACTTTTTAAAAACAATTCTCAATAGACAACTTCGTCTTGGAAATAACTTGATACTTCAGACAGATTGAAGGCAAACGTCTTTATATACGAAACGCTATTGGGCAATCATATCCACCTACTGACCAATCAGATCAATTGTTCTGGAGGTTTCATAAATTTTAAACTTTCACATGTGCTTTATAAACCATAACATAATGACGTAACATACAGATTAGTCCAGTTTAGGTAAAAAAAAAAGGAAAAATTGAATCTTATATTGTATCATAGTTGGTTTGTGATTCACTTGGGAGTGTGGTTTATAAAAATTTTAATTAATATCATCGTTGTATGTCGCCATATGGCTACAAAGAAAGTGTCAGATTCAGTTAAATGCTTATTTTTACGAATATCAATTAATGTCCTTCGTCTCAAGGAAAACTGGCGATGGCTGTTATAGATTAAGTTATAGAGAATAAGATAGAATAAGATTAATTAGAATTCCACGACTTTATTTTTGCCTTGAATATATCTTTGTTTCTTTAAAATAAATACATCTTCCAGTCTTAAAAGATTGAAGGTCACAATATAGAATGGGTGTGTTCTACGTAAAAAGTTCTTACGACAGACTGATGTCATCACTGAGGTCATAAAGTATTTATATTAAGCTACCGAATGACAATTTTTTGTTATTATTAATTAAAAATACTTCCAACAGAAAAAATTAGAAGCCTATTCATAACTTTAATATGAATGACATGTATTTTTTATGCCAACTTTTATTTGATAATAAATTCGGCCACGTTTTGAAGTTATATATTTATTTAAATATGCATTTAAAACCCTAATGATATTCATATTAATTATCGTAGGTGGCCTTATAGGAGAGAGATATGTTAAAAATTTGTGTGAGCGGTGACGTCATATATGAGTTCTTGATAAATAAGTAATTAGTTCTAATATTTCTCTAGAATGTGTCCAGTAGGTTTTAAAGCTTATTTATGGTATTTTTATTGCCTTTTTTAGAAATTATTTAACGAAAATTGTAAATTTTTATATTGATTATTATCTAAATAATAAAAACAAATTCTGTTACTGACGTTCGTTAACTATTTTAAACTATTATTATTTTTTTAATGAATAACTAATAATTAATTATTTTAAAAATTATTTTTCAGTTGTCAATGAGAAAAATATGAAAGAATTGAAATTGAATAGAGATAGAAAATATTACATTTATTATCTAATAAGATATATTAAGACTGATAGTGATCATACGAATTGCTTTTAATTCTTAAGACAAGGATCGAAACTATTATAAAGTAAAGTGAAAAACTAGAACTTCAGATTAGAGTCTAAGATAATTTACAAAAGTAATTTTACTTTCTTTGAACTGTTAACAATTAAGAAAATATGAATTTATGAATGGAGGATGTCTTCTTTTAAAGTATTTAATACAGCCTACTTTTTCGACTGTTAATATTCTTCATCTACGAAGAAAAATGACTCAAACGGTATATTTAAAACATTTCATATTAATATAATCCCAAAGAGAAATTTAAAAAAAAAATTGTGGTTATATGCTTTTAGGAAGAAGATAAGTAAATTGGCTAATAATTGTTACATAGAACATTAGTAACATCTACAGATTCTTCTGGCCACAAATCTGTTTTTAGTCTTTAGAAATATGATTTGTTTCATCCTTTCATATCATATTAAGATTTTATTAGTTTTCATTATGTAAGAGCCATAAGATTTTAAGTAAATTTTATTATTTACTGAGAGATTACTATTTAAATATCTAAAGTTTTAAAGACATACATCTATTTCAATTTTTATCGGCAATAATTATTGAGACTTTCCATTTCAGTCGTTAAGAAAATCAATTTCAAATATTTAGCAATACAAGATTTATAGAATTTTTAAATTCTAATCGTGTATTTATTTAAAAATTAACTTATTAACGTTATAATTTTTGAATTAATCAATATGTAAATTGTTATCCACTAGTGGTCAGTGTATAATATCGCTGAATACATAATTAATCGATCGTGGGTTCTCGTTTGATCAATAGCTCTGTCCGGAAGTACCGGAAGTTGGCAGATCGGCCGCGTGTTGCATTGCCTTAGTCCATCAATCCAATCCAACGTGAATTGCTGAATATTATTAAATAACTTATTATTAATCACTTAAACATTTAAGATTTTTTAATTTTAATTTTGAATAATAATTTAATTTAATTTCACAAAAATCATTTATGCGAGTTTTTATTTATTTCATTAGAAAATGCATGGTACAAGTTTATTGTATTCAAATTTCATTTAAAATTATAGAGTATTTTTATTTTAAATGTTATTAAAATTTTAATATATATATTAATAAAATTTCATATATCCTATACCGTACATGATAAAATATTATTTTACCTTACATAAATATATTTTTATGAAAGCTTTATTCTATTAGCCAAACTACAGATCAAAAGTTTTCCTATAAAAATATTCCGGAGGTCTTCAAACTTTTAACATCTATATTAGTATTCCTCACGCTGTGAGTATTATTTTTGCATAACCCAAGCGATAAAGTTATAAGAAAAAACTTCAATACTTCTAAATCATAAATCTTCTTATAGTTAGATAAGATATAAGTTAGAATTTTTTATTTTTTCAATATTTTTAATAAAAATAAAAATTTCTTATAAATATTTTGCAGAACTCTTGAAGCGTGTTGGCTGAAACATTTCATTATTCTAATGAAAACAATTTGAAAATATTGAATTATCAGATTTATTTTATGGCGAAATCATTACAGTCAATTTGATTTACATTTTAGGATCTAAGTTCCGTATGATGTCCAAAAATAACTTCTGAATACAGTCTACCCCCCATAACACTGTTGATTTTTCCGTTTTATATGAATTCCATGTTGTACGAGTCACTTAGATTTTACAAATACATGAGCCGTTCACAGCCCGGCACACGTATTTGTAAAATCTAAGTGACTCGTACAAAATGGAATTCATATAAAACAGAAAAATCAACAGTGTTATAGGGGGTTGACTGGTAATTATTTTTTCATACCCTATATAGAGGTTAGATCCGTTAAAACATAGCAATCTCAGGATTTAAAATGCCTTAATACAGTTATTTTTTCACGAAACCACACTATAAACATTTTAATAAACTATTTACAGTGAACTTAATAAAATTTTATTTTATTGTTTGTCTGGTCATTGTTTCTACATAAAACCAAAACTATCAATTTTATTGTGGTTCTAAATTGCTAATTATAATATTTCTTAATTGTTTCAACCATTATATTTTTATGTGAAATACAATTTATTAATAAATAAAATAATTAGATCTATAGAATTTTGATAATGTTTTGTTTGCCTGCAATTTTTTAAATGCCATTCTTTTATTTTGACAAATAATGATTTTTGTATCCTGTTTAATTATCTTTACATTCAATAACCTTTATGAGAATTAAACATTGCAAAAAATTCTTTATGATTAAATGGTAGCTAAATTATTTTAAAAAATTAAGAGTTTTTGCATATGTGATGCTATTCGTACACTTATAAATATATACCGATGAATAAAATATAAAAATAAAAATATAATAAAAATAACTGAAACGATAAGTATTCATGAAGTTATTTGTATAATTTTGTTAATAATAATTTTTTTATTCGTATTTTTTATTGTTATTATTTAACGTTAAATCACTTCAGTGCTTCACCTTATAAGTTATTAGAGATAAATAAAATTGGTTATNAATAATTTTTTTATTCGTATTTTTTATTGTTATTATTTAACGTTAAATCACTTCAGTGCTTCACCTTATAAGTTATTAGAGATAAATAAAATTGGTTATCAATACCCTGAACTAGAGAAACGAGAAATATAAAGTAGTTTATAAACACATAAAGGAAATAACAAATCTTTAAACAACATTAATCATAAACAGTTTTTTGCAACGTCTAATTCTAATAAAGGTTATTGAATGTAAAACTGATAAGACAGGATACAAAATCATTATTTGTCAAAATAAAAGAATGGCATGGAAATGTGTATGTGTAGTATGAAATGCAAAATAAATGATGATCCCTCTTGGACAGACTTGTCTTTGATTTATTTAATAATAATCCAGCCATCGGACGGAAATATTCAACAAAAAGAATGGCATTTAAAAAATAGCAAGAAAACAAAACATTACTAAAATTCTATAGATCTAATTGTTTTATTTAACTTTTATTCCATATAAAATACTGTATAATGGTTGAAACAATTAAGAGATGTTAGAATTAACAATTTACAGCTATAATAAAATTGATGATTTATAGAATAATTACGGATATAATAATTACGGGATATATTATATTCGTATAATTACGAATATAATATATTCGTAATTATAGAATAATTACGAATATATCAATTTGTATAAAAATAAAATAATAATTTAAACAAACTAAGGGAAAATTTTAAATTATGAATTAAGAAAAAAACAGTTAACATTCATCATGTATAAATTCATCATATTACATGTATGAGAAATTTTATATTTTTTCCAACGCTTAATAAAGATTGAAGAATGTGATTATATCTTTCTCCGAATTCACTTCCTTTCAAAGGTGACACATCTTCCGAATGTGTCACAAGGAACCAAATGACCAAAATTCCTCTATTGGACGTAGAACTTGACATTACCAAAGATGGACATGAGAAGAAAAGGGGAGGACCCACAAATAAAAGAGAAAAATCGATGACGACAGGGCAGTTCGTCGTCTTCAGAGTTCGTCACTCATCTTTTCTCTCTCGGAACTCGGATACATCGCCCATCCTGCCGATCACTGCCTGGATCGACCACCTTGGATCAAACATTCAACTACCTGAACTTTCACCCTTCCAACCTATCATTAAGTGATCCACATCGATCTGCTGGGCGTTCAAGATACCTGACGCCTTTCGGACCAGACGTCCTCCGAACTTCCTATTCGCCGGTTATCTTCGACATTGATCTCTCCAACAAGGAACCGATCTCCTCAGCTACTTAAAATACTCAAGGTATTTATCAGCAGGCGACCGAATGTAAACTACTCTCTCTCTCTCTCTCTCTCTCTCTCTCTCGTGGTTAGGGACCTTCTAATAACTCTATATTGAAAATCCTGACTAACCTCCTGTAGCTGTAAATACTGTATATGTATATTCCTATGTAAATAAACGGATATTTGTTTACGTTAAATCTGTAGTTGTATGCACTTCTTTCAGACGCGCTGTCTCTCAAAGTTCTTCCAT